GTGACGACGCACCGTGAGTAAGAGAGAGAGAGAAAGAGGGAGTTGGGACTTAGCTTAAGAGGAAAACCGGAGAGGGTAAAGGGGAGAAGGACAGGTAGAGTGTAGCGCCGACTATCGAGAGATAGATTGGTCCTGCCCCGCTGATCCCGACTGACTCGGTTAAATAAGGGCTCGCCGACGCGGTGGAATAAATCGTCGGCGGTTACATAACGGACTGGTGTGGTTTTTGCAAGGGTGTGGAAAGAGAGTGGAAGCGTGGGTGCGCTTGCTGTTCTCGGTGGTCACCGCGTGTGTGGAGCAGCGCCGCGTGGAGTGTGTGCGCTACAAACCGTCGGCTGCGGACTCCCACGTTGCGAGCGGATACCCATCTCGCACGCATGCCCATCGCATAGCCCTTTAAACCCGTTTAATCCAATCCCCCCAATCGCCGGAGTGAGCACGAACGACGTCGCTTACCCTCCGACCTTTAACCCCCTGTTACCCGCGTGTGATTGGTGCGTGGGACTGCGCGGGCGGGGAGCGTCGCGTTTGGGTGCCGGCGAAGCGCTAGCGGGTCCCAGGGCGGTCGAGGGTGATGCCTCACCGGCAGGAAACCCGGACTCGGGGGGGGACAGCACAGGGGGGGGAACAGGAGCGCGACGACCTTTCCCCGCCCGGGGAGGAGTGCGGCGGCGGCAGCTCCCACACTAGTGGAGAGTCTGGGAGCGTCGGTACTTCGCGGACAGGGTCGCAGGCAGGAGAGATCCCGGGGGCCGGCGACCCTAACAACACACCTCAATTGGGATTTGCAAATTAACGGGGTCCTGGCAGCATACCGTATGGCCCCCCATGCATCAACGGGGTATTCGCCTTTTTTTCTAATGTATGGCCGCGACAGCGAACCCCCCGTGACGTACAATTGGGCTTGGTCCCCTCAAAAGATGCTAATAGAATTGAGGAATAGCTCCGGTTCAACCTCGATAGGCTCCGGGAAGCACGTGAGGCTGCATTGGCGAACACGACCAAGAGGCAGCTCGCCAATGAACGATTCATGGGCCGACATACCTCAAACCACAAATGGACCGTGGGTCACAAGGCGTGGCTCCACTGCCCACAAGTTCCTGTGGGTACCTCGCCTAAGTTGACACAACTGTGGAGGGGCCCGATTGAGATCGTTTGCGTCGTTCGCCCACAGTGTGTGCAAATCCGGTGGGGTCGTCGCACGTTTTACGTGCACCCGTCTCGCCTTAAGCCTTTTTCTGGCGCACATGATTCACATTCATCTCCAACATGTCAGAATGGCCGAGAGTGTGATGTGCCCGACAAACCTGACACACCTTCCCCAAAACTAACGTCTGTACCTACAACAGGTGCAACGCGACTGACGCTGAGGCCGGAACCTGCCAAGAAATCTCCACCCAGCGGTGACAACCCGGCGTCACCAGGAGCCACTGCCTCTGATGGGGGCCTCCCGTCACTTACCTTAATTGCCCCTGCTCCGCAGGAATCCAAGGAAACACGACCAAATGGGGGCCCAGCAACAAGAACACGATCTAAAACTCACAGGTTCTCATGAACCTCTCGTTACTACCCCACTCCTCCCCAAACCACTCGCATCACATATGAAAGAAAAGACAGTTGGGTGGATCACTTTTGCATCGCTGTTTAATTGATGGGTTTTCGACATTTGTTATTGTTATGTGTTGCAGCACTTACCTTTTGGAGTGGCTTACCTTGATATATTTTTTTACTAATGTTAATTGTAGTTTTTTATTTATTTATGGACAGCCGAGACGGCTGGATGCTAAGAAGGGGGGGGGGGGGGGGTAATGTAGTGCCATGGATGGGCTGCACTTGCAGGCAATGACAGGCTGCCCTATGATCCCTCGCAAACACTCCCAAAGGCCGAAGGGCTGCAGCTGCACTGACCTGCAACGGCAGACATGCGGACCTCAGTGGGGTCCGCACCTCGGCTGAGAAACGGATATAAGGCGAACCTCTGTAGCGGTCCAGGCAGTTTAAAAACCGAAGCAGTTGGAGATGGAAGCAGTTGGAAACCGGAGCAATTGAAGATAACCAGTTGAAGAAGAAAGACCTGCTAGAGTAGGACTCTGAACCCCTAGCTTCGCCGTCCTTTTAAGGGCCGAAGCTCTGTGAGGTCAGTGTTGGACCTGTACCTTGGCTGGGTCAGGTCAGGTAGTCTCACATAGTTTATTATAGCTGGAGGACCTGGAACGTAGCTGGGTTAGGCACGCTACACAGGAGGCGTATAATATACCAAGTGGAAGAGGTCCTCAAGATCAACTGTATGAAGAATTAATGTATAGTGGTTAGGGTACGTGTGGAAAATAAAGACGTGCCCCCCCTACGAAGTGTCTCCGGAGCAACACTACATATAATCCTGGTTGTCTCTGAACTGTGCTCCTGACACAGATATTCTGCATTGACTTTTCCACCTGAAGACAGAAGCTTGTGTTGCCTCCGAAACGTCGTGATTTAATTTTCTTTTATTTTGTTTTATTTTATCTACGTGACTTTACCGAATAAAACCAAAGAATATGAATCCTTGCAGTCACGAAAGCTTCAAATCTGGAATGTGTATACGATATTATACAGTGTAGTATAGATTGGAAGGTATATTGTAATGTATAGTAGTCTAGTTTATAGCATATTTGTGTAGAGGTGTTAACTACTCACTGTTCGGTAACCTGCATTGCCACTAGGCATCAAAGGGGCAGTGCAGCGTTACCTCTGTACATAACGGTTGGGGTCAGACGAGGTGAAGTGGATCGTAGCCACAGTTTGGTAAGAACCAATCAGAAAGTTCCATATGGGAATGTGGGATTGGTTACACCTGGCCACAAACGGGTATAAGAAGGGTGACCGCGCAGAGCGCGGGGAGTTCTCTCCCTACACGAAGACTGAAGCCCGGGCTGAAGATAGCCAGGACTCTGGACCCAGCCTTCCAGCCCTTCTGAGGGCTAAGGCTCGGCGTATCCAATGGTCAGGACCCGCCGGGCCAGCGGTGGGTCAGATAGCCTCCCCTAGGTCCCAGCCGGAGGACTCTAGGATAGCGGTAGACATGTGAGTAAGTCCCGCCAAGACAGGAGGCTGTACCTCCTTAGGTTAGGAAGAGACCTGTGTGTAGGTCACGCTAATTCAGGAGGCTGTACCTTCTTAGGGTATCGGGTGAGAGGACCGTATACCCCTCTGTGTGTTAAGGACTGTGTAAGAGAAGTATTACAATAAACAGAATGTGCCTCCTAAGAAGTTTATTCGTCATTGTAAACACTACAGTTGTAACGCAACACAGGACAGAGCAGCGCATCATGGTTGTTTCTTTCTATCTCCCCCTTCCATTCCGAGCATAGATGGACTCGTCCATCTGAACAAAGCTTGCCGCTTTCGTTGAGGAAAACGAAACCGCCACTTTTTTCGACATAGAATTGTAATGTATAGTGACTTATTGTTAGTAGCTCAGCTGATTGGAGAGTATATTGAGTTTATTGATACTATTGATGTAGTTTATATTTGAGTTTTTTTTATCAGTTTACTATATGGTATTCATTATATAGTGTAGTGTATACCCAGTTACTTTATGTTAATAGCTCAGCTTATTGTAGAGTATATTGAGTACATTGATTATATTGATGTAATTTCGATTTAAAGCTTTCGTGACTGCAAGGATTCATCTTATTTGGTTCTTTCGGTAAAGTCACGTAGAATGAGAATAAAATAAAATAAGACAATATTCTCACAACGTTTCAGCCACAACACAAGTAGCATTCTTCAGGTGAAAGAACAGAACTGTCGGGACGACAGAGCTTGAATGAACGCTGTTAAGATTCGTAGCGTCTTTTAAGCTCGGTGAGAGGCGTGGAGAGCCTTGACAAAGGAGTTTAACCTATCAAAGCAGGAGAATTTAGCATTGGAATAGCTGAGGGATTAGCTTGTGACAGAAATAGCTGTGTTAAAGTCAAAATTTACATATCAACAGAGGCATTTAGTATATGGACGCTAAAGGCCTCCAACTACCAACTATCATAAAGTAAACCGATGTGAAAAAAATCTATATTACATCAATATAATAAATGTACTTAATATATTCTTCAATAAGCTGAGCTATTAATCACAAAGCAACTGGGTATACACTACACTATATAATGAATACCATATAGTAAACCAATAAAAAAACAAAATATAAGCTCCCTCAATGTTATCAATAAACTCTATATACTCTCCAATCAGCTGAGCCACCAACAATAAGTCGTTATATATCAATGCCATATGGCGAAAAATGGTGGGGGGTTTTTTCCCTTCACCTCAACGCCAGCCCCACGGACAGCGATGTTCAGGCGGACGAGTCAATCCATGCTCGGAACGGAGGAGGGGGGAGAGGGAAACAACTACAATGCGAAATTTCGATTTAAAGCTTTCGTGACTGCAAGGATTCATCTTCTTTGGTTCTTTCGGTAAAGTCACGTAGAATGAGAATCAAATAATAAATTAATAAAATAAAATACAATTCTCACGACGTTTCGTGAAAGGAACAAACCTGTAGTTCCGACAGGTCTGTTCCTTTCACCTGAAGAAGGCCACTTGTGTTGTGGCCGAAACATCGTGATAATTTTATTGTGTTATTTTATTTTATTAATTTATTATTTTATTCTCATTCTACATGACTTTACCGAAAGAACCAAAGAAAACTATAATGCGCTGTAATACTCCAAGTTATGGTATGGTTTATAACTACTTATTCCGCAAGGAGTGACTAACCCCATATCTGCTTTGTCATCAATATGCTAAATTCCTCTGTTGATATGTAAACTCCTTCGTCAAGGCTCTCTCGTCCTCCCACCCAGCTTAAAATACGCTGCCAAGCTTAGCAGTGTTCATTGGAGCGCTGTCTTTCCGACAGTTCTGTTTCTTCACCTGAGGACGGCTGCTTGCATTGTGGCCGAAACGTCGTGAGAATTTTATTTATTATGTTTTATTTTTATTATCTTATTATTTCCCTTCTACGTGACTTTACCGAAAGAACCAAGAAGATGAATCCCTGCAGTCACGAAAGCTTTCAATCGAAATGCCAATACAGTTCCACCTTCTCTCCAATATAATCCCGTGGCCCACAGTATGAAAAGGAGCAGAAAGATCAAGAACGAAACATAGACAATAGTGAAAGATCAACACATGGTAGAAGATCATTATAGAGCATCAATAAGGCAATCTTAGTCTTTGGACCTGAGCAAAAGCAAGGTTAAACTTTTCGATGAAAGTAATGATTGCGTTTCTACAATCTTCCCAATGTTATAAGAAACCCCGCATGTCATGTAGATCATGGGGCTATGTGAGACCACGTTTGTCTATGTTGGTCACCTCTGTGTGGTTTTGTGGAAAGTATCTTCATGCAGGAACTTTAAAATGCAGATACTTGGTTAAACATTACCAATTAACCAAAATATCTAGTTTATCTTAAATGCGGTGTTCAGTTCAAAGATAACTGAGTTATGGTGCCTTCAAATTTTCATGTCAGATGGCAATGGATATCCGAAGAGCTTGTAGTCTCCATAATAGAATGTGTAGAGCTGCTGTCTCACTTTCGAGCTCAGCTGTGCCAGGTAGTATCCGGTGAGCGCAGCAGAAGAGCGTTTGTCTTTTGGGCTCGAGTAAAACACCGATTCCGGTGCCCTAACGCGCGCCAGCAAGTCGGCCGCGTCGCGCCCTAACGTCTCCACTTTGCCGAGGTAGTCATAGCGCAGCAGACAGGGCTGGCAGAGGTGGTGAGCTGGTAGCCAGTGCACGTCCTGCACCAGAGGGCGCTCGGGGTCGAGGATGAAGCGCACCATCTCGGGGAAAGTTACGTCATGGCCGCCTGTCAGAGACACACGACTGGGGTTCTTCCTGTAGTGCGAAATGATAGCTCGTCCATACACTTTCTGCACACGCCGTCATTGGTTTTGGAGAGAAAGGAAAAAAGGTTATGCTGGTTTATTTTAAGAGTGGATAGTAGAGTGGGGTAAGAGGCATACGTAGGGTGAAAGTACTTTTTGCCCTGGTGTTCGCATGTGGCTTGGTCAGTTAAGCTGCAGATACGAGCAGTAGCAGCCAGTGCCTCTAGAGGATGGCATTAATCTGCATCTCAACCTGATTAGAGCTGATGACTTAATTTCCTGCTTGCACCAGGACAGAAAGTACTTTTATGCCACGTAGGCCTCTTAGCTCACCTGACCCTGCCTTCTATCTTATATGAAGATATCACTTTACGTCTGCGGCCTACCTACAGGGTGTTTAAAAAAGATAGACCCAATTTCAAAGCAGTATATTTCACGATGGCAACATGTTACAATTATACAAAAAGTTACAAACAGTTTAATGAGTTACCAAGTTTTTCTAACCATTTTATAAATGCTCTATGTGCCCTCCACCTACTGTATGGACAACATCGAGATGATAGTTGAATTTGTCCCAAACGCCTCCCTTCTCACGTTTTTCTCTGAGGTGCGTGGTCACCCTGTGCTCTTCCCCTTACATACACAGCCTGTTTCATCAAATTGTCGGTACCAATGACGAATGTTCTTTGACATTGGCGGATTAAGGCCAAAACGCCGTTGAAACGCTCGCTGCACCGCAATTACGGATTCAGTCTTGCTGAACTGCAGAACGCATTACGCCTTGTGTTGCGGGGTCACCATCTTGCGAATGACTGAGGCTAGGGGCTGTTTGTGCGCTGGGAGAGGCATCAATCGGTAATCATTTGAAACTCTATGCCCCGCCCTTTCAAGTGGTAAGAGTGTCATTCATGGGCGGTTCGTGGTTGCAGATATGTATCGATTTCAAATCGGGTCTATCCTTTTCAAACACGCTGTATTATGAATAAATCTCTTATAATACATTGTGAATATATCTATACTAATCTTACATCTTTCTTATCTAACTCATTATTTTTACTGTCTGCATATCTCCTCTGCTTGTCCACCGCAAACACATTCAATTTGTTTGACTTTGGCAGAGTGGAGGATTTTGACAATACAGATTTGGCCAGATCACTTTGTGGCCTCACCCACAAAGCAATGGTGAATCATTATATTGTCTGCTTATGATTTAATCATGAATTCAGCAATGAAGTAAATTTTCACTGAGAGCAGGGGTGTAGTTGTAAGTTAAATGGACGATGAACCCAACCAGTTCAGTTACATTCTTGACTACGACGAACATCAGTGGTGAGTGATCACAACTGGTTATAGGCCACTCCACTCCTTTACCAACCCAGACTGGCCAACATGGTGAAAAATGGTCAAACAATCCCTATGACATATATAGTGGCATCGGTGGAGGCCACTGCATGAGGTATAAGCCGGCCTGTGTGAGGCACGATGCGCGCCGCTCACACCGGCCATATGCAGTGCCAGCCTCTGGCGGTTAGGGGGCGAGAGTGCCAGGGACGGCGCAGGGGTTCAACGGGGGCCATGGCACTCCAGGTGAACCTAGAGGCCTGGTGCCCGGAGGTACCGGCTAAGGGGCCCCAAGGAGGGAGCTGGGGGGACTACGGGACCAGGACCAGGTCCCTCTTGAAGGCTTGAGATGGTAGGCGTGGCCACGGCTGGAGGAAGCCCCGAGACTGGCAATATAAGCCGGACCCCTGAACGAGTCCGGCAGCTGTTGCAAGACTGAAGACCGAAGCCGTCACCTGGAGAAGACCTGCCCGACTACAGGACCCGGACCCGAGCCAGGGCCCGGTCCGAGATACCCACCCCGTGTGAGCTAAGGTTAGCTAGCCTGAAGGAGATACCTCCCTAGGGTAGCTGGTGAAGAGGCAGTTATGCCCCTGCGTGTTTTAGGGCTTATTGTAATAAACTCTTGCCTCCAAGAAGTATCTGCCTTCCTCGTGTAAACCACTACACATATACGAAGTGGTTGAAGAGGGGGGAGGGGCTCCATTCAGTCGTAGGTTGATATGGCGCTGCACGTTTACATTCACAGACTGGTACGCACCTTGTAGTGCTTGGAGTGCAGAAACTTGTCCCGGTAGGCGGACACGAGGCGCTCCATGGGCTCCCTCACAAACATTACCATCGAGTAGTTATCTAGCCGCGAGCGCTGACCAGAGATGTCAAACGAGCTCAGCTTTGTATAGTTGAAGCTGTGCACTTGATTCTGCGTCATCACCTTGGACGACTTGATGTTCCCCATCAACGCCAGGAAGGTCCTCTTCCAGTTGGTGCAGCCGGTCTTGGGCACCTCACAGTACATAAATGCATAGCGATCGGCCACGTAGATGCGGGATGCGAGCCACTCCGGGATGCGTGGCAATGGCGACAGCGGCAGGATGCCCCTCTCCCTGAGCTGCTTGCACTCTGTATTGAGAGTCGAGAGCCGCTCTTCCTGATTCTCTTCCAGCAATTTATCCATGACCAGGGTTCCCCGGCTGTCTGCTGCACACACACAGCACACCCAGGAAGGAACAACAACGATGCAATGGCATTAATCATTAAAATCACTGCGGCAGTGTGCGGAGACTGTGGTCACACAGAAAATATCATGGAACGTACAATTTGACGAAATAATTGCGATTATTAAGTTAGTTTTTTTTATCTGTAATGTTGTCTGCCGACCGAGTCGCCCTTAAAAAATACTTTCTTAGCTCAATGGGCTTTATTCGGGAAATTAACTTTTGATTCTGATAAGTCAATGCCCGATTCACAAATGCGAAAGAGGAGGCGTCATCACAACAATAAAACCACTTCACTACTCCTGATGCACTCATTAGCTGTTGCTCTCTACATCGACTTGAGCCACACAAAGAAGACTCGTCGAGGCATGATGGCTGTGTGGCTCACAGCGCGAATGCCCACGCAAGAGCACCAAGCCAGCATCGTCGTTTGTATAAATCCTCCAATCCGCGGTTATGGTTAAGCGCACCCCCAATTGATCTGCAAAAACTCCTGCTACCCACGGATCGCTTCGCCCCTGTTATCCACATTTGTATACCACCACCAGAGACAGTGCATGCCGTGAGTCTGCACGTCCTCCACCACGACTTACGACTGGGAGAGGAAGCCACTTCGGAGTGTCTGGCATCGTCCTCCCCTGTACGGGGAGAAGGACAGCCGGTGCCACCACGCGAACAATCTCCAGAGGTTTGACCCTGGAGCTGAGGGGAGCTGTTCTGCGCCATATGAGGGAGAACACAAGCTACTGAACACGTTGTGTAATGACAAGCCACGAGAGAGAATATACAAGCTAATAAACATGTTGCAAATTCACAAGCTGTGAGAAAGAGGACACAAGCTAATTTACAAGCCATGAGAGAGGACACGAGCTAATTAATACGTTGCATGAGAATTGTGGCTGATATCTGTTTTTGATTCTCTCTGCCCCGACTACCCCCCACATACTAAATAAATTTTGCAATTCATGTCATGTGAATTGAAGATATTCCCATCCAGAACGCTCGTGGTGTGTCTAATAATAGTGGTATATTCCCCCAGTGTTAAATAAAGTTCGCATTAGATGTCGCTCGTATTAGATGCCGCTCGTTTTCGATGCCACTAGTGTTAGATGCAACTCGTGTTAGATGCAGCTAGTGTTAGATGTTGCGAGTGTTAGATGCCACTAGTTTTAGATGCAACTCGTGTTAGATGCCGCTAGTGTAAGATGCCACTAGTGTTAGATGCAACTCGTGTTAGATGCCGTTCGTGTTAGATGTCGCTCGCGTTAGATGCCGCTAGTGTTAGATGTCACTAGTGTTAGATGTTGCGAGTGTTTGATGTAGCTCGTGTAAGATGCAACTCGTGTTAGATGTAGCTCGTGTAAGATGCAACTCGTGTAAGATGCCACTAGTGTTAGATGCAGCTTGTGTTAGATGAAACTCGTGTTAGATGGCATTCGTATTAGATGGCATTCGTGTTAGATGCAGCTAGTGTTAGATGCTGCTAGTGTTAGATGCAACTCGTGACAGATGCAACTCGTGTTAGATGCAGCTCGTGTTAGATGCAGCTCGTGTTAGATGCCGCTAGTGTTAGATGCCGCTAGTGCTAGATGCAACTCGTGTTAGATGCAACTCGTGTAAGATGCAACTCGTGTAAGATGCCACTAGTGTTAGATGCAGCTCGTGTTAGATTTAGCTCGTGTTAGATGCCGCTAGTGTTAGATGCAACTCGTGTTAGATGCCGCTAGTGTTAGATGCAGTTTGTGTTAGATGCCGTTCGTGTTAGATGTCGCTCGTGTTAGATGCCGCTAGTGTTAGATGCCACTAGTGTTAGATGTTGCGAGTGTTAGATGTAGCTCGTGTAAGATGCAACTACGTGTAAGATGCCACTAGTGTTAGATGCAGCTCGTGTAAGATGCCGTTAGTGTTAGATGCAGCTTGTGTTAGATGAAACTCGTGTTAGATGGCATTCGTGTTAGATGGCATTCGTGTTAGATGCAGCTAGTGTTAGATACCGCTAGTGTTAGATGCAACTCGTGTCAGATGCAGCTCGTGTTAGATGCAGCTCGTGTTAGATGCCGCTAGTGTTAGATGACGCTAGTGTTAGATGCAACTCGTGTTAGATGCAACTCGTGTTAGATGCCGCTCGTGTTAGATGCCACTCGTGTCAGATGCAACTCGCGTTAGATGCAACTCGCGTTAGATGCAACTCGCGTTAGATGCAACTCGTGTTAGATGCCGCTAGTGTTAGATGCCACTAGTGTTAGATGCCGCTAGTGTTAGATGCAACTCGTGTAAGATGCCACTAGTGTTAGATGCAGCTCGTGTTAGATTTAGCTCGTGTTAGATGCCGCTAGTGTTAGATGCAACTCGTGCTAGATGCCGCTAGTGTTAGATGCAGCTTGTGTTAGATGAAACTCGTGTTAGATGGCATTCGTGTTAGATGCAGCTAGTGTTAGATGCAGCTAGTGTTAGATGCCGCTAGTGTTAGATGCAACTCGTGTCAGATGCAACTCGTGTCAGATGCAGCTCGTGTTAGATGCAGCTCGTGTTAGATGACGCTAGTGTTAGATGCCGCTAGTGTTAGATGCCGCTAGTGTTAGATGCAACTCGTGTTAGATGCAACTCGCGTTAGATGTAACTCGTGTTAGATGCCGCTCATGTTACATGTGTAGAGGTGTGACGGGAGGGGGGACACGCGGTTGTAGGACAGTGGTTACAACCTCGTCCGATACGGACCACCCTGGGAATCTGTGGGGGATGCTGGGATCCCTCCCGAGCCCCACCCCTGAGTGAGGAACTGTATAAAAGGTGGGACCCGGGGTGCTGGAGTTCGACTCAAGCAAGATGAAGCACCAGTGAAGAAAGAAGATCAACTACCTAGACCCTGAAACTCCTTTGGCCCGCTGTCCTTTTGAGGGCCGGGCAAAGCAAGCCAGGGTGCGACCCCAGAGCCGCGAGGCCCGATGTCCTTTTCAGGGCCGGACTCGTGTGGCTGGTGGTCGTGACCTACGCCGAAGCTGGGCTAGGTCAGATAGCCTCGGGAAATAGGGCCAGGTTAGAGGGAACCAGAGAGCTAGCGTAGGCTTGAGCTCCCTCTGTAGAGTACCCGTGGAGAAGCCGTTACCTCTCCAAGTATTAGATTCGTTACTGTGATTGAAGTGTTGGTAATAAATGCGTGTTGCCTCTACGAACAGTCTCCGACGTCATTAAGGCCACTACACATGCAACTAGTTTTAGATGCCGCTCGTGTTAGATGCCGCTCATATTCGATGTAGCTCGTGTTTGATGCACTCGTGTTAGATGCAGCTAGTATTAGATGCAAACTGTGTTAGATGCCGCTAGTGTTCGATGTAGCTCGTGTCAGATGCAACTCGTGTTAAAAGCAACTCGTGTTAGATGCCACTCGTGTCAGATGCAACTCGTGTTAGATGCCACTCGTGTTAGATGCCACTCGTGTCAGATGCAACTCGTGTTAGATGCCGCTCGTGTGAGATGCAAATCGTATCAGATGCAGATCGTGTTCAATGGAGCTAGTGTTAGATGCAGCTCGTGTTAGATGTAGCTTGTGTAAGATGCAGCTGTTAGATGCCGCTAGTTTTAGATGCAACTCGTGTTAGATGCCGCTAGTTTTAGATGCAGCTAGTGTTACATGCAACTCGTGTTAGATGCAGATCGCGTTCAATGGAGCTCGTGTTAGATGCAGCTAGTGTTAGATGCCGCTAGTGTTAGATGCAACTCGTGTCAGATGCAACTCGTGTTAGATGCAGCTCGTGTTAGATGCCGCTAGTGTTAGATGCAGCTAGTGTTAGATGCAGCTCGTGTTAGATGCAGCTCGTGTTAGATGCCGCTAGTGTTAGATGCCGCTAGTGTTAGATGCCGCTAGTATTAGATGCAACTCGTGTTAGATGCAACTCGTGTTAGATGCAACTCGCGTTAGATGCAACTCGTGTTAGATGCCGCTCGTGTTAGATGTGTAGAGGTGTGACGGGAGGGGGGACACGCGGTTGTAGGGCAGTGTTTACAACCTCGTCCGATACGGACCACCCTGGGAATCTGTGGGGGATGCTGGGATCCCTGCCGAGCCCCACCCCTGAGTGAGGAACTGTATAAAAGGTGGGACCCGGGGTGCTGGAGTTCGACTCAAGTAAGATGAAGCACCAGTGAAGAAAGAAGATCAACTAGCTAGACCCTGGAACTCCTTTGGCCCGCTGTCCTTTTGAGGGCCGGGCAAAGCAAGCCAGGGTGCGACCCCAGAGCCGCGAGGTCCGATGTCCTTTTAAGGGCCGGACTCGTGTGGCTGGTGGTTGTGACCTACGCCGAAGCTGGGCTAGGTCAGATAGCCTCGGGAAATAGGGCCAGGTTAGAGGGAACCAGGGAGCTAGCGTAGGCTTGAGCTCCCTCTGTAGAGTATCCGTGGAGAGGCCGTTACCTCTCCAAGTATTAGATTCGTTACTGTGATCGAAGTGTTGGTAATAAATACGTGTTGCCTCTACGAACAGTCTCCGACGTCATTAAGGCCACTACACATGCAACTAGTTTTAGATGCCGCTCGTGTTAGATGCCGCTCATATTCGATGTAGCTCGTGTTTGATGCCACTCGTGTTAGATGCAGCTAGTATTAGATGCAAACTGTGTTAGATGCCGCTAGTGTTCGATGTAGCTCGTGTCAGATGCAACTCGTGTTAAAAGCAACTCGTGTCAGATGCCACTCGTGTCAGATGCAACTCGTGTTAGATGCCACTCGTGTCAGATGCAACTCGTGTTAGATGCCGCTCGTGTTAGATGCAACTCGTATCAGATGCAGATCGTGTTCAATGGAGCTAGTGTAAGATGCAGCTGTAAGATGCCGCTAGTTTTAGATGCAACTCATGTTAGATGCCGCTAGTTTTAGATGCAACTCGTGTTAGATGCCGCTAGTTTTAGATGCAGCTAGTGTTACATGCAACTCGTGTTAGATGCAGATCACGTTCAATGGAGCTCGTGTTAGATGGAGCTCGTATTAGATGCAACTCGTGTTAAATGCAGATCGTGTTACATGCAACTCGTGTTAGATGAAGCTCGTGTTAGATGGAGCTCGTGTTAGATGGAGCTCGTGTTAGATGCAGCTCGTGTTAGATGAAACTCGTGTCAAATGCAACTCGTGTTAGATATAGATGGTGTAAGATGCAACTAGTGTTACATGCAACTCGTGTTAGATGCAGATCGCGTTCAATGGAGCTCGTGTTAGATGCAGCTCGTGTTAGATGCAACTCGTGTTAGATGCAGATCGTGTTAGATGTAGCTTGTGTAAGATGCAACTAGTGTTACATGCAACTCGTGCTAGATGCAGATAGTGTTCAATGGAGCTCGTGTTAGATGGAGCTCGTGTCAGATGCAGCTCGTGTTACATGCAACTCGTGTTAGATGTCGTTAGTGATAGATGCAACTCGTGTTAGATGCAGCTAGTTTTAGATGTAGCTTGTGTAAGATGCAGCTAATGTCAGATGCCGCTAATTTTAGATGCAACTCGTGCTA